GTCATTTAATCAGATGCCAGCAATCAGCGGGCGTTTTAATGGCAGGTCAAAAATCTGTGCTCCCGATTAGCACTCGCCACCAAATTTCTACACCGCTGAGAGTCTTGTGTAACGCACAAGCTTGCGCGTGCAAGTCTTTCAGTTTAAAAGTTGACATTGGGTGTAGTAGGCCAGAGGGTAGAGAGAGCCATGGAATGCATTATTATCCCACAAGCCGGTTCTGGCAGGTTCCCCCTCACGTGACTCCAGAATTGCTCAAGCGACTTCTCGGACACAGCAGGATCTGGATCCTTCCTCGTTGGCCTTTAGAAAGCTTTTAAGCAGAGCCTCCCGAATTGCTGTTGGGAGTTGGGAGCAATTGACATGGGGATCTTAAATGCATCTCCATTTATCGAGTGAGCATCCCAGCCTGGTTTCTAGACTAAAATAGTTTCACCGGCTGCTGCTTCCACTTTCCCCTCTTGCTCATTTGGCTTCCAGATTTGTTCTGGAAAAAGCCACGGCCTTTACCGCCAGGGATTGATCCAATTGTTCTTGCTCCGCCTTTTTATTATTATTTTTTTAACAAAACAGGGGGTTAAAAGCCCTCCAAAAACAAATATTTAGTTTTATCCTAAACCAGTTTGCTCAGAGGGAAATGCCGGTGAGTTCAGTGTGACTGGTCCTAATGCAACCTTGACTCTGAGCAAACAGACTGTGTTTTATCTTAACAAAAAACTTTGTTTTTCGACTGGTCGCTCTCCAGGCCTTCCCTCTGTAGGTTTTGGCTGTCGTGGGCATGGCCAATTCTGAAGCCAGCCGAAACTCCATTTTATTTAGAAAAATAAATTTAGAAATATGTTTACGCAGATCACTGAAACTTTCTTCCAATCAAACAAGTTTAGGTTCAAGTGCAAATATTTACCCAGCCCTGAGGACTCAACATGGGTTGGAAAAGAGCTATGACATACACGTGGGTTTCGTACCTTGAGGACTTTGGTACATCACAGATCAACCACCCCAAGACAGAAATCTGCAGCTCGCACCTTTCCCTGTGATAACTCTGCAAGGAAAAGGGCTACAAACTTTTTTTAAAAAGAAAGCAAGCTGGGAACGAGCGCAATATTGCAACCGATCATTGTAATGTTATCACACTATATAACAATCTGCCAATTGGCAGCTTTTTGAAAGCCTTTCTATGTGGCTGAAGGAAATGGTGCGGTTGCCACTAGTGTTCCCTCTAAGCTGAGTTAGTGTAAGCTAGCTCAGTTTTTACCCTTCGGTTCACACATTTTTGTCTTAGCTCAGGACGGATGGCTCCAGTCCAAACTATTTTATGCAGTAGCAAATCACCTGCCTGCTCACAACCTTGATGCTGGTAGCTCACAAAGTAGAATTTTTGCTCACAGGACTCCACAGCTTAGAGGGAGCATTGGTTGCCGCCAGGGGTCATTTCGTAGAAAAAGAGGTGCAGGAGCTCATTAGCATAACTTATTTGCATATGCCACACCCCCTGACATCACCGGAAATGTGTCAGAAGGCAACACCCACCACTCAGGCTCCACCGGACTGTTTTGGATTGCTAGCTATTGGGGGGGGGGACGTGCAAGTCTGTCCTTGCAGAGGAGGGAGAGCTTGGACCTGAAGGGGGGCCGGGGGGGGGGGTGTTGGAAGGCAACGCCCACCGCTCAGGCTCCATTGGACTGTTTTGGACTGCTAGCTATTGGGGGGGGGAACGTGCAGATCTGCCCTCACAGAGGAGGGAGAGCACCTGAAGGCGGGCGGGGGGGGGGGCCTCTGCAACTTACCTGGCTGCTTCTTGCTCCTCGTGGCCCAACTGAGGGCTCCTGTGCACTCCCACAGGAAATGACCCCTGGTTGCCGCTAATGTGGGCAAGACATCATAGTGTATACACAGGGTTCCAAGGTTGGAAAAGAGCATACTAAATCAGGTTTGGGAAAAGTTGCAGTGGGGGGGGGGGAATGGGATAGAATAGGGTCAGAGAAGGACAAACAACGGGTAAGGTCATGTAGATGCTCTGGAAAACAGCACAGCTGTAAGGAAGCCAAGGGAGAGCAAAACATCCACACGGAAACGGCCCTGGGCAAAGCAAGTTCTTCAGAAGTGTCAAAACTGTTGCATGATGAAGTTTTGCAAACCTTGTGATAGGTGAAAAAAAATGGGCGTAGAATCTGATTCATTCGTTTGCGAAAACAGACGCCAAAGGAGGCGTGCCCCTGACTCACCTCCGAGTTGGCCAGGCTAACGTTTCAGATGTGAAGTAACTTGCATACACTGAAGTGGATCCAGGAGTAAATTACTAATGTTTTTGTCAAAGGCTGGCAGGAACACACAATGAAAGAAGAGCAAGAGTCAACTCCGGTAGCACTTTAAGAGACCAAGAAGATTTCCAAGAGACCAAGCTCCTCTCGAAATCCGCTCGGTCTCCAAGGTGCTACTGGAGTCAGATCTCATTCTTCTACTTCAGGCCTTCACCAATGAGAGAAAACTTTGGTCTTTCAGGACCAGCAATTTTAGCCAAAGCTGCACAGCTCGCTCAAGCCCTGTAAGAGAAAAGGATTGACCATACACCATTTCCCCTCTCCCAGCCTCCTGTCTTTGCTAATTGCCAGGGCTTTTTTTTGGTAGAAAAAGCCCAGCAGGAACTCATTAGCATAACAAGCCACACCCAACAGCAGAAACTCATTAGCATATTAGGCCACACCTCTATGCCTTCCCTTGGCTTGCCCGGGTGCCCCACGACTGCCCGCCCACCTCGGAGTCGCTGGAGGTGGCGGTCGCTCCCCAGGCCTTCCCTCTGTAGGTTTTGGCTGCAGTGGGCGTGGCCAACTCTGAAGCCAGCCGGAACTCCGTTCCTGTGCATTCCT